AATGCAAAGTTTTGATCATACCCAATCTCCATATTTCTATTTCTATTCTTCCTCACCCCCTTATATTACAAGAAATAGCAAAACTTCTGTTTGGCAATGCCATGCATATACGTCATGCATTCTGTTCACTCTCAACTCTCTATCAGTTATGCTCCTCCTATGCTCACCTATCCCTTCCCACCTTCAGGTGGCCATGTATTACCTCACTGCCATGCCTTTTAGTTTGGGATTTGTTTTACTTTGTTACACACTGAGCTTAACCAGGACCACTCAAGTGGACATGGATGAGAAGCTACTTGTCTGAGCATGTGTAACTCTCCAGTGGTCACATCACTGAAAACAATGACCCCTGTCTAGCTCCCTTCAATTAACTACCGTACTTGGTTCCCTGTGTACCTTGTTCAAGGTATGCATATGTGTCCACAGCCTCCAGATGGTGTAGACCTTATTCAGGCAGCCATAGCAGCTTTGAGTTCATAGTTGCATAGTTATGTCTTGCACATAATATAACATTTCATGCCCTTCTCCTAATTGTACAGGCTCAAACATTCTTTATCCTTTCTTGCTTTATCTCCTCTGACTCTTGGAATGGGTAGTATGGGTGTCCTATTGAAGAAAGGGCACAGTCATCACATGTCCTCAGCACCTTGAACCTCCATGGGTGTGCTATAATCATTAATTCCTGCATATAGAACCTTCTTTGATTCCATCTAAGAAGTTAACAATTCTACAGTAACTACAAGAATATTTAAGAGTCTGCTTAACAGCATACCCTTATAACAAATGTCACAGATTCATTCCCAGAACCATGAACTTCCTAGCCAGGAAACTTGACCAAGTCTGCAGTACGAAGAATGGACACCATATGAAGAGGACTTTGTATACAATAAGAAACTAGTCAGTTATCTTCACAACAGTCATATCTCTATTGTACCAATAATCGTATTTTCCCTAGAAAGTCAGTGTTAGAGTTGACAAGGCAAAAAGTTAGAAAAGAATGAAGAAAAATCACAGTGTCATCATGATTGAAGGAACGGATTTTTGACAAAACCTTACATTTCTTCATCATTAAAGCCATTGAGAGAGAGGCAAAGGTTAGATGGAACATATCTCATCATAAGTAGGCTACATATAACAAATATGTAGGCAACATCATGCTAAACAGCAAAATTAACAGGATACCCACCAATATCAGGAACAGGTCAGGGATGGTGACTATCTACATTTCATTCAATGTAGTCCTTTACATCTTCTATGAAAAGAAGACAAAGCTTCTGTTTTCAGATGATATGTTCTATGAATAAGAGACCTTGAAGACTCCCCTCAAATTAATATAGTTGTACAGGTAGCTTTCACATATACATATGAGAAACACAGTGAGTATATTTGAGGGAAGTAATTTAATTCATAATATTCATAAAACATAAAGCATTGGTAATGTTTAACCAACAAAAATAATCTTAAAGAAAAATCATAAGACCTTGAAGAAAGAATTTGAGGTGTGTCATGTGCGTGTGTGTGTGTATGTGTGTGTGTGTGTGTGTGTGTGTATTGTATGTGCATGGGTATACAATGAAGTGCATGCCTTTGTACATGAACATAAACCACAGGAGAACACTGGCTATCCTGATTTACCATTCTTTTTCTTATTTCATGGAAATAGGTTTTCACACTGAATCTGAAACTAATTTCCTGGCCAGAAAGTCCATAATTTACCCTTCTGTATCCCCACAGGGTTGAGGTCACAGACATGCATCCAGCCACAGGTGTCATTTTTACTCCATACAGTGGGTTTGAATTAAGGTCCTCAAACTTCATCAAGCATTTTCCCGGTTGAGACATTTTTCTGATCATTATGATAGTGTAATAATTTATCTTTTTGTTATAATCATATGTGGTTATGTTTTGAACCTTGGCTGGTTTATATGTTATCCATATTTATAATATTTAGGATAAAGAGTTTCATTGTTTTATAACATGTCAAAATAAGCAATCTGATCTTTCTATATCAGAAAGATTATTCAAGAGAAAGCTGTGAATAACAGTTCTGACTGGTTTGCTAGTATATATCACTGACCTCTTTAATGGTCAGCCACTTACAAGATGCTAGAATGAGGCAGAAAGAAAAGAAACAACAATGTGCTAATAGAAAAAAAACAGCAGAAGAAACAAAATTTATAAAAGGCCACATCTACAAAACTTCTGCATCTAAGGCTCAGGGATCATTTTGGAATAGAGTTGGGGAGATGATAAAATCTGGAGGATCAAGGAGGCTGCTGTGAAACTGACTCCTAGGAATGTCAGCAACCACATCCATAAAGTATCACCTACATGATTGTCTAAACATAAGCTGAACAAGGACAACAGCAACATATATACTAAAGTGGACAGGAGGGTGTGGCATGGGGGGAAGGCACTCAACCCTGCAAAGAGCTACAGACAGCTAAGAAATGATATGAGTAGAAGAAATAGACTTTTCCAGGAAGAGCACACCAACTGGTTATCCAATACCAAACGATCAGCCCTGAAAATGTACAAACTAGTAACACATACAGCTTGAGCAGGTGTATTTGGAAATATATCTACATATACATTTATGCATGTGACAATACTTAGTGGGTAAAGGGAATATGAATTGGAAAGAGAACAAGGAAAGACATATAGGAGGGCTTGGATCGAGGAAAAGGAAGGGAAACTGATATAATTATCTTGTGAATGCAAAAGAAAAATTAAAAGTAGTAAAAATAAATACCATTAAAAAAGAATATAATGGCTGTTCAACGGCACTACATTTCCTGACACTTAGCTCCAACCATAACCAGGCTAAGTGTATTAAAGTCCTTTTGTCATCACCCTTCTAAAATCAAAGGAATTAGCGGGTGATAGTATTCCCATTTTGTTTACTGAGAACAAATATTTAGACATCTAAACAAAATCAGACCTAAGAAACATGCATTTTTGCATCCTCCATTTTACCTGATGAGATGAATGTTTGAAGCATTTAATTAACTGATCCAGAATCACTTAGTGCTGGAAAAAAATGGATTCAAAACCTGTCCACCAATGACTTTGATCCTAATTACTGAGCTACTGTGTCAATATGCATTTGAATTTCTAACAGACACAACTTGACAAATAATATAATTTCATTCATCTCTAAATATCAAATCTCAAAGACTTGATTGATTAATTAATGAGAGAATCATTTAAGTTACTACTTCTGATCCAAAGCATATCCCTAAATGCCACACATTCAAATCAGCTAAGGAATTTTGAAATAATTTACCATGGATGCAAAGTGTTCAGAAATCAATATCCACAGGGAGATGGCCAACTACATTCTACTGGGCACAATTTGTATTTGAAGAAATAGGCATCATTAGTATTATTAACTGTAATAAGTACTATTTAACCATCTTAAGTGTTTGACTGTTTAATTACTCAGTTCTCCTGAGACTCCCTCTGCCGCTACCCCACCCACTTTTAAGGACAAAAGTATAGGATACCACCATTGAAAGCATTAGCCCTGGAATGTATCCAGAAACATCAAGCATAGGGCCTCAAATTATTTCATTCCTGAGTGGTTTTCAGCAGACATACAGTGTTTTGAAAATTTCAGCCACTAATTTGAAATAGACAAAGCCAATGGGTCTACTCACAGTGTGATATGTGATGTTTATATAGGAACATATTATCAATAACACTAGGATTAACGTTGACATATCACTCTAGGTTTTATCAAAATCAAATACAAATCATGAATCTAATTATGAATAGTAAGCAATAGTAGTTTTGTATGTGTGTCTGATTGGTTGACTAAATAAAGCACTTTTGGCCAATAGGGAAACAAGATAGTTGGGATTAAGAGTCAAGGAGGATTCTGGGAAACAGAGGCACAGTCACTCATGATGTAGGATAGGAGAAGTAACAGGTCCAGACCCTTTTCTCCAGTAAGAGGAGATCATGTGGAAATACTTAGATTAGCAGTTATGGGCTAATAAGTAAGTCAGAGCTAGCTGATGAGAAACCAAGCAAATGGCCAATAGCTTTATAATTAATGTAGTGTCTCGTGTGTTACATGGGGGCTGAGACAGCAACTGGACACAAGCAGCTGGTAGGAAGACTACACGTTACAGTATTTGGTATATCCCACTGCAAAACAACATAAAGAAATTATGGATGTAATTATTTGTATATGACTGAAAGGTCCTGTAGTGCTAGTTCAAAAACAGTAGAGTATAAGAAGAACAGAATACAAACTACATGGCTTATCATGAGTTATGTGTTGCTTTTATCCTCTGAAATTTAAACTCCTTCAGAATAGAAATGTAACTAATAATAATAACAACAACAATAACAATAACATAGAGAAAACAAGATCCTAAACAGAGACAACGAGAAGTAGGTTAGAGTCAGGGCACCAAATTAACTACACTGTATTACACACTTTTTTTAATATTTAAATCATTTATTGCCATTAAGTTACAGATACGGATATACATACTATGGAAAACACTTGTTACCACTGCAAAGTATGTATAGACGTGTGGCCGACTGAAGGATATACTATGGTCATTAAAGAAAAAGTCAAGAATTTAAGTAAGTGCTTATAGTTATATAAAATTTGTTCCTTAGATTTTTATTACACAAATCCCAATAGATAATATACACATTACCACAGATTCCTACAGATAAAACCATCACTGAAAATTATTAAATTAGTTGCATATTCTGAACTACTCTTGATGAAGACAAATACATTTTAGCATTGATAAGGCAGCAGAGAGTTGGTTTAGGGACTCTCAGCTTTTCTATAATGTTGGCATGGCAATTAAGGGTAGCATTCCATATTTTCCTTCAGCAAGATCATTTATGCTGACGTGATCTGTGGCATGGCAGCAGTGGCTGAGGCGCTGACCTTTTCAAGAGCTGGTTGGTCCTCAGTGCTACGCAGACGCCTTCTTGCTCATCTCGTAGTTGATAAGCCGTCCTCCCTGGATGAGCTGGGCGACCTCGTTTGTTACATGGCATGCAAACAGAAGCCAGTTTCGAGGCTGCACCTTGTAGGCAAATCTCATGAATGTCAAGGAATAGCAGCAGATGGCGAAGGTCATCCGCCCACTGATGATCTCTGGAGACTTCTTCATGTCATTGATGGCAGAAATGGGGAGACCCCAGTTGGCAACTGGACCCCAGAAGTGCGTGCTCATCAGGTAGTCCCGGAAGTCCTTGCTGTGGACATAGTCCGCCGCCTTGCGCACCAGCGCCCCAGCCATGGCCGTGCGTGGTCGGCGGTGCGGCCGCTCTGCGGGGGAAGCCGCCCTGCGGACCAACCACACCGGCGTCGAGGGAGCGACCGAGCGCGTATTACACACTTTTATAAATACAATCTGCATTTAAAAGTCAGAGAGTTTGTACATAATAGAAGTTTTGCTAGATATAAACTTGGGAAAGACAGTGTTTTTCTCCTATTGTTTCTAGCTAACAGAATTCTCTAATACACATTTATTCTGTATTTTCTGTCTCTTTCCTCCCTTTGCCTTTACAATTTTAATTGCAAAACAGAACACACACAAAGGGTTTGTTTGACTGTTCTGAAGTTATTTTTAAATATTATTGGCTTTTATTTATCTTTGAGCTTTGTTCATTTCACATAGGTCAGGGAAGAGAGAATCTTCACTGAGTCTAACTTGGTTTCTAGAGAAATGAAAAACACATTTTTATAAGCACAAAATGCAGATATAAATATATTACATAAACAAACCTATGTATTTCATTGCTGAAATTAGAGGTTTTGACCTGACAAGTTAAATATCTTAAAGGATATTAAGGAGAGAAGGAACATTGATTGGCAAAAAAAACTTTCCCACAAACCACCAAATGTTGAATCATAATAAACTCAGCCAACATTATCTTTTCTTTTTACAGAGACTTCAAGCAGGGTGGGATGTTCTGCTGAGTTATAAGGAAGCTGTGCTATGCTCTTTCCTTTGATGAAGAAAAGCACAGAATTATTCTTTGTGGTATACCAAACAGAAGATCATGACTTTCAATTAGCTCTATCTACGAAAACAAATTTCATTTTATTGTCTGTTTTGGTGCCTGTGGCTCTCAGTGTGTTCCAAGTACTCAGTGGGTGAGGTTTCAGTAGTTACTCTATACGAACACGGGATGCCAGGGCAAAACATGAGGTGTCAGAAAGTGTTTTCTCTGATACTATATTAGGGGGAAATGTTAATGATAGAAAGAGCATCAATTATTTAGTGCGGCTTTGTTAAGGAAAGTTATGGCTGACAGTACTATAGTTGAGAGTTATAAGACATTCAGCATGAAAAGTCAGTTGCATTAGGGATACCTAAAACAAAGTTATTCTATGTTTTCCTAGACAAACAACCATTTTATGCAAAGATTTTTAATGTGGCCAGTGTGTGTTCATGTGTGTGTGAATCAGTATATATCGATGTGTATGCCCCTGTCAAAGGCAGACATCGATTTTCCTGTTCCATTGTTCACTGATGCAATTCACTTGAGGATTAGTTTCTCACTAAATCTGAAGCATGTTGTTTGGGACTAAGATGGTGACCATTTTTCTCAATTAAAGTTATATTGCCGTGAAGAGACACTATGACCATGGCAACTCTTATGAAGAAAAACATTTAGTTTGGACTGGTTTACAATTTCAGAAGTTTATTTCATTATCCTCAAGGTGGAAAGCACAGTGTTGTGCAGTCAGAAGGAGACAGAGTCCTACATCTGGATCTGTAGGGAGCAGAGAGTGATCTGCCACACTGGGCATGGCTTGATCATCTGAGACTTCAAAGTCTGCCCCCCAGTGACTGTTTCCTCCAAAGATGCCACATCTACTCCATCAAGGCCCACCTCCTAATAGTGCCACGCCCTATGAGCCTATGGGGGCCATTTTCTTTCAAACCATCACACCATTAAAGCCCAGAGACTATCTTGTCCCAATATGACTACAACCACGTCAGCAATGAGTTGACCAGTACCACAAGCTCTTGTTTTATCTTGTGGGTACATGGCATCCAAGTAGAGGTCTACATATTTGCCCAGTAAGCACTTGCTTTTCTTAAGTGTTTAGCTAAAACTTAACTTGAGTTTCCTTTCAAGAAGCCCCTTGTTTTAAAAGTTACAATCATCTAGTTAACATTGCAGGCTGCCTTGATTTACATAACACATTTAGGATCTACACTTTGCCTCACTATATGTTGTAAATTCAAAACTAATTTTAATGATGTCTATACCTGAAGGCAAAATATTAATAAGGAACTTAATTCCAAGAACAGGAAATAAAATCACAGCAAGACTAATGATGCAATCTTTTATGACTTTTTTGATATTATAATTGCAAAATTCCCCCAAACTTTCTTCCCTCTAAACACTCCCATATAGCATCCCATCTTGCTCTCTTTCAAATTCATGGCTTCCTTTTCCATGTTGTGTCATATATGTGTATGTGTGTGTGTGTGTGTGTGTGTGTGTGTGTTTATGTGTAGTCCAAAATATCCATAAATACTATATACTCAGTCCATATAATGATACTTGTATGCATATGTTTTCAGGTCTGGCCAGTCAGTATGGGATTAGTAGTTTCCATGCTCTTCCCTAGAATAAAAACTAATTTTCCCACTCTCAGCATTCCTTCGTTGCCTATAAATATTGACTTGTGTGAAAGCCTCCTGAGATTAATACTTTGCCTACTTTAGCATATCTATTAGTATCATTGTTGTTCAGACTTTATTTAAGCAGATGCCTAAAAAGTGATGTAATTTTATCTAAAACCTTCAAGGTTATAGAAGATTGGGGCTCACGTCACAGGAAATGACGCCCAAATAGATGCACGAATTCATTTTGAAAGTACCTTGCATTTTATTTTCATGCTAATCAAATGCTAAAAATGTGTTTTTCAGTTTTTTAAATTGACAGTTTTTCATTTCCCAACTTGGGTACCTTGTATGTCCACTTATTCTTTTAATGATTTGATCATATTTAAATGTGTTTATACAGTCTATTGAGCACAAAAGATCCAGGACAAAAGATATAATGCAAGAATAAAAGAAAGCAATGTACACAGTGCATTACACTAGAATGTCCATGTTATGGTTAACAGTTCTACTACTAAAATCTGTATCACCTTGCTTTAAGTAGAACATATGAACTGACATACGGAACTTCCACACAGTTTCTTTATAGCCATGAGTGTTGTTTCTTATCAGTTTAATTAATATACATAATAGCTATGTCATACAGTTCTTTTGAAGGTGAATAAGTATGGAACACCTTAGCTAGAATACAGCGGATGTATAGCATAAATGTAATAGCACATATGAAGAAATGATATAAAATGTTGTGAGGGTTGCTGAGCATAGGAACGTGTGTAAGTTGGAGTGTAGTTAGTCTATATCTTTTATAATTAAGCCCAGACAATGATTTAGGTAAGATAAATTGGATTATTCTGGTGAAATTTCTCTGTTAAAAACATAAACAAATCACATAATTCCTGATAAGGTGACAAAAAGTGACAAACAATATTTGGTGTTTAGATAACGTAAATGCATATATAAGTATGTTGAATTCTTGAAATACATGGCCAGGATATGGTGATAATTCCATTATTTGTATGAAAGTATTAACTTTATTATTAATCAATGACAATGGAATCATTCAAGATATAACTCGCATAGAAATGTGGCAATGATGCAGAATTTCACATTTTTGACACATTACATGATTTCCCTCAACTTTATTAGCATAAGTTTTATAGAAGTCGTGATTATAGATTGTCTTCCTACACTCACGACTAACCCTATGTAGATTAAAACTATGTCTTCATAAGAATGAGTGACATATGTCATTTTAACTTCACATTGGATAATTAAAAGAGTAATGTGATAATGAACCATAAGTTCATTCAAACTTATTTTTACAAATACATACTTAGTTGTATGTTGGTGATTTAGTGCCCCTACTCTTTTTTGGTTTTCTTTTTTAAGGAAAAGCTAAGACTGGTGTCCACACTTATCACTAGCAGGAACTTACACATGCAGAGGAAGGCCATAATCATTTGTTCTTTTGACTTCTTCATATTCATGAAAATAAGTGTGTCTGTTGTTTCTTGGGAGATTGGTAGAGCTTAGGGGACACTTATCTAAAGAATGACATAAAATTCTTTTATACTATCTCTGAATGATAAAGGCTGTGCCTTCATTCTCATGTTACTAGACACATACTTCTCTTAGTTAACCTATCCTTTTGTCTTCACACATTTAATGGTTGATTAAGTTCATCAATATGCATTCAGTCCCTTGATACTATGTTCTCAATACTAGGGATATAGAGGTATTGGCTTCATGCAACTTGTATTCTGGTAAACAATATAGTTTTAAGTGTGTGAACAAATAAATTATGTGATTCTAGAAGGTAATGATTCCTATAAAGAAAATGCAGTGTTTAGTAGAATAATACAAATGACAGGATTAACATGGAAAGTCAATGAATTTCAATTCTTCTATCTTTAAAATCAAGATCATACCTCTGTTGCCACATGTGGCCATGTCACAGGTATGTGTGCATATAATGCCCTCAGTAGTTGACAGTCATCTGGGCCATGTGACAAAACCACACAGAACTCTCATGAAGTATGTTTGCTCCAGTCAGGTTTTCTTGGGAAACCTTTTTGAAAGACAGTATAAACTAAACCTAGTCATGTTTCTAAACATAGATTTTAGTTTTCTAAACTAAACTTATTATCATGTGTTCTTCTTTTCTCATATACAAAGGTGAAACTAGAATTCTAGGATTGTATTATTAATCTGTTTAACTGATTGAAATATATCATTGATGACTTAGCTTTCAGGGGTTACCTGGTTTACCATCTGTGCATTAAAATCCGGTGTGACTTTAAAACTATCAGGCACCTATTTAATTTTCAAAAGGAGAACGTTTTACATACAGTTAGACCCACTATATGTAAAAGATCTCAAAACCAACAAATCCTTAACACAAAATATCCAGGAAATATGGGACACCGTGAAGAAGCCAAACCTGAGAATAATAGGTATAGAAGAAGGCAAGGAAGTACAGCTCAAAGGTACAGAAAACATATTCAACAAAATCATAGAAGAAAACTTCCCTAACCTAAAGAAGGATATGCCTATGAAAATACAAGAATCTTACAGAACACCAAATAGGCTGGACCAGAAAGAGAAGTCACCTCGCCACATAATAATCAAAACATCAAACCTACAGAATAAAGAGAAAATATTAAGAGCAGCTAAAGAAAAAGGCCAAGTAACATATAAAGGCAGACCTATCCAAATTACACCTAACTTCTCAATGGAAACGATGAAAGCCAGAAGATCCTGGACAGATGTCCTACAAACGCTAATGGAACAAGGATGCCAGCCCAG